TTTGAGACTGAGTCTTTCTCTGTTGCCCAGGCTGGAGTGCAGTGGCGTGATCTTGGCTCACTGCAGCCTCCACCTCCTGGGTTCAAACAATTCTCCTGCCTCAGCGTCTCAGGTAGCTGCAACTATAGGTGTGCACCACAATACCCAGATGATTTTTGTACTTTTGGTAGAGATGGGATTTCACCGTGTTAGCCAGGATGGTCTCGATCTCCTGACCTCGTGATCCACCCGCCTCAGTCTCCCAAAGTGCTGGGATTACAGGCGAGAAAAGTATTTCTACTCCGTGTTACCACAGGAGAAAGTCCTTGATCTACTTTTAAAACAGGAACATATTTATTTCCAAAAGCTTCTGCTTATCATTCACAGCAACCTAAGTTCTAGGGCCACTCTGGGTTATTATCCTTTAAAGCCATGTTCTTGTCATGCAATTTTCCTGGCTTCAGACTGAAGCCAGAAAACACAATGAAACATACCTTGTATATTTTATTGCCTCTTAGGAAAAGTCAGAGAATTCATTTTGCAACTCACATTTGTGTCTCCAATCTGTAACTTGATCAACAGGTGCAAAAAAGGTCTAATTTCACCACTTATTTACTCAGCAAAAAGTTACTGTGTTTTGGCTGTGCGCTAGGAAGGGATTCAGTGATAAAGTCAGACACTGCACCCACAGCCAGAGAACTCAGCGCCGAACAATAGAGGCAAACCCACCAGCAGAAAGCTGCAAGGCCGTGTGCTCCGCCGGAGGCGAGGCTGGGGTGGCTGAGCAGGGTCCGTTCAGTGCTGCTTTCCTCTGGGACGCGTCCGTTGGCTTCTCACTTGTTCTTCTTGACCAGGAACCGATATCCGCAGGATGGGGAGAAAGGATTTCCGAAAGGTCCCTGGAGAACAGGACTCAGGCACACAGAGACCCTGTCTTGTGTTCTCACTTCTTCAATACCCCTTTTCCCTTCTGGCTTTTGCAAGCTCAAGGACCAGGAGAGTCACTGACTCAGTGGCGATTCTGTCCTTCACATGAATTAAGAGGTCTGAGAACTGGTGATAAATGTGAGCCTTCCCTGAGAGCTAGGAGACACTTCATCTCATATCATCAAAAGCATTTTTTTTAACTCTTAAAAACCAGTATTCTCCCAGATTGTGAAATGATAATTTAGGAGAATTATGGTTCCTTTACTATTATCAGTAGGGCTGGGGCTGAAGGAGCAGGGAAAATGGAAGGGAACACCCCAGATTATCATCTGAACCTCTGTGACAGTCGGGCTCAGCAGCCTTGACTGATGGGGTGAAGAGGTTCATCTGTAAGGTGCCCCGGGTGGCCGCTACAGCCTCTGCCCCGCTTCCTGTGTCCTGCTGGTGGCGGCTGCATTCTTTCTGTATGGTGACCTCCAGAATCAGGATCACAGTAAGGAACTTGTGATTCTTAATTGGCCACCAGTGATTTTGATAAATAACTTGGCAGTTTTCCTTCATTGTGAAAGAACAACCTACCTTACATACTTCCCACATAAAACATGTTTCTTTAGAAATATCGCTTGATATTACCCATGAAATTATAAATGATTATCCTTAAAAGAAGGTTAAATTTAACTCTGCATTTGTCAAAATAAAGGAACGAAGTTTATCTTTTGGTAGATGGTCCTGGTTTCTATTGTTTCTAGGCTTTCTAGTCTGAAAATGCTGCGATCCATAATGCTTCTTTCTATTTCACGTGGACTTAAATAATTCACTTGTTCGTAACTTAGTCCTTTCGAGAGTTGGTTGGGCTGGCTCTTTCCTTCTTCCTTCCTTCCTTCCTCCCTCCCTCTTTCCTTCCTTCTTTCTTCCTTCCTTTCTTTCTTTTTCCTTTCCTTGGTACCATACGTTTTGAAAGGGTTGTAGTTCTTGGGTAGGTCATTCTAATTAGAGAGAAGGCCGTGGAGCATCATATTTCACCGAGTGACACCTTGAATTCGTGTAAGCACTGCGTCGTCTTCTGCAGGAGGGGCTCCGGACTTTGTGCGTGGCCTATAAAAGGCTGATCCCAGAAGAATATGAAGGCGTCTGTCAACTGCTGCAGGCTGCCAAGGTGGCCCTTCAAGATCGAGAGAAGAAGTTAGCAGAAGCGTACGAGCAGATTGAGAAAGATCTTATTCTGCTTGGTGCTACAGCTGTTGAGGACCGGTAAAGTAAACGCACACACCCTGTCCTGAGAGACAAGCGGTGCGTGAGGACGAGGGGACGGGGGAGGCCACCCGCACAGCCGACAGGCGTGTTTCTGCTCAGGGAGAGGCGAGGTGTCTTGCTGCATGCTCGGGTCCTGTCAGGAAGGTCATGCCTGGGGGGTATTTTGTTGAGCCGGCTGAAACCACTTTCCCGGGAAGTAGTGAAAATAGCTTGTTCCTATCATCTTATGAACAGGCAAGATAGAAGGGCTTTTAAAAATTGTTTCTTTTTTTTTTTTTAAAGGGATAGCATCTTGCAGTGTTGCCCAGGTGCCGTTCAGTGGCACGATCACAGCGCACTGCAGCCTCAGACTCCTGGGCCCAAGCTGTCCTCGCTTCTCAGCCTCCTGAGTAGCTAGAACTTCAGGCACATACCACCATGCCTGGTTAATGTTTTCTGTTTTTTTTAGAGATAGGATCTGACTATGTTGCCCAGGCTGGTCTCGAACTCCTGGCCTCAAGCAGTGCTCCCACCTCAGCCTCTGAAAGTGCTGGAATTGCAGGCGTGAGCATCGTGCCTGGCTGTAACTCCTCTTTAGGATGGAATCAGTCGCTGACTCTGTTCCTAAACTTTGTTGCTAGTTTTTTCAAAATGCTGATATTATTTCTTAGATCATTACCTACTCATTATATTTATCATTACCTAAAAAAACTTAAAATAATGAAGTAGAAAATCACAAAACCTAATCATCACCATAACTGGTAAAATACCAATTACAGATGTTCAAGCAGCTCCACAGTTGGGGTGAACGTTGTGTGAGGTCGAGGCCAACAAGAAGCGGTCTTCTGGGCCACATGGTGTGTTCACAGCTGAGTGAAAGGCAGAGATTTCAGTGGTTTGTAGGATTGGAGAAGAGAGAAAAAAAGGCCCCCGTTTATGAGAATGAAGCAGAATCTTCAGGAAGTTTGCAGGGAGTTTATCTCCTAGAAGAGGTTAAAAGCATAAAGTTTAAAAGTCTTTAAGATCCATTTTGGTCCAAAACTTAAATCCTCATCACTAACCTGCATTTTCTGAGTGTGTTTAACAAACATTCCCAGAGTTCTTGATCTGAATGGAGTGTTAGGCAGAGCAGGAGGTTTTGATTTGGTGGTTTTGTGTTTTGTTTTGTTAGAGTAAGCGCACGGAGCACCCTGTAAAGAACACGCGTTGCACATGGACAGGCTCCAGAGCGCAGGGCCATGGCCGCCGAGAGCGGGGGTCTTGCTCTTGTGGTCAGCCACTCACCTGCGGTCTGTCCAGGAGAAGAGGGGTGTCCATAGGACAGTCTTTGCCAGGGGAGCAGCTCGGTCAATCTTCACAGGCTGTGGTGGAGGAGCCTGGGGTGCCTTGGGCAGAGCAGGTGGGATGGAGACCCTGGGGCGGGGACAGGCTGACTTGACTGGATGGGAGTGTAGAAAAGTGGAGAGTTAATGGCTGGTGGGGGAGCGGGGCCCGGTGGCTTTGAAGTGATGATGCTTGCTTACAAATTAAAGTCTCCAGTCAACAAGTGGGAGACCTCTGAGCCTCAGCTTCCTTTCGAATCGAATTCTAGGGCCAGGCCTGGTGGAGCACACCTGTAACCCCAGCCCTCTGGGAGGCTGATGCAGGAGGATTGACTAAGATCAGGATTGTGAGTCCAGCCTGGGCGACATAGTGAGATCCCACCTCTCACATTGTTTTAAATTGTTCAGGTGTGGTAGGAGGCGCCTCTTGTCCCAGCTACTTGGGAGGCTGAGGAGGGAGGATTGCTTGAGCCTGGGAGTTGGAGGCTGCAGTGAGCTGAGATTGTACCACTGTACTCCAGCCTGGTCAACATAACAAGGCATGCATGCTCCCTCTCTCTTTCTCCATATATGTATCTTACATATGTACACACACACATACATATGTATACACACACACACACACACACACACACGTACACATACATAAAATTAGAGGCATTTTTTTCCATCTCTGGAATACCATGATTGTCTGATCTTGAGACTTGTAGCTAGGAGTTCTTCCCAGAGCCTAACCAGATCATTCCAGTTAGAATTTAAAGCCTTTCTTTTCATACATTATAGAAATAGGGCAAGTTACCTCACACGAAAGTAGAGTCCAAAACCTAGAGAAAATGCAGGCCCCCAAATGAGGCAAGCATGGTTTTGACACCAGATCTTCCAAGGAGAGGGACATGACCTGACTGCTTACCCTCAGATACCTGCTGTAGTGTCTGCAGGCTTTGGGTTTTCCATGTGTAAAATGGATGTGACGCTAACGTCCTTACTGGTGACCTCGTGGGAAGGATGAAAGACCGCACACAGGAAGTGTCACACAGGCCTGGCAGAGTAAGCTCATGATGTGTGTTAGCTAGCCATAAAATCACTGGTGGTATTACCAGTATTTTTATATCATGTAGAGGTACCTAGACCCCAAGTGGGTTCTAAGTGAAAACTTTGAACAGTTTATACAAAACGAGATAATGAATATCCCTCACCACCATGATTCCAGATCCCATCTTTCCATGGTGGAGACATTTGTGTTGGTGGTTATGATAGTCTTTGTTATCAGTAAAATTTTGATGCCACGAAAGAAACAGCACTCAGAGATAAATCCTCTCAGCAAGGAGGTTTACTTCTCTAGAAGGGTGCAGGGCGCACAGATGGAGCAATGATGGCCGCCGCATGCTTGGACAAGGGGAGGGGTACTTATGCCTGACAGGGTAGGGGGTCGTCCCTGCTGCTGTGTTGTCCCCTCTTGGCTAGGGTTACACTACACAAGCTAGGCTCACCCTGATTGGCTGTTTTAAAAAGAGCAGGGGTCCGAGCTGGAGGGGCAGGGCGGGTGTTTTGGTGGGAAGGACGGTTACAGGTGGGTCAGAGCAGGTAGCCAGGGGTGACCTAGGTCAAAGAAGGTGACCAGAGCAGGTGACTAGGATGAGTCAGGATGGAGCTGGGGGGAGAGGGAACAGATGTGAACTACTGATAAGAACAAGAACTTAAACTTTAAAATAGAGAATTAAAGAATAAGAGAGCTGAACATACTGACATACTGATTCTTTGAAGAGAAACTTGGGGTTCACTGTAACAGTCTTGCCGACAGTTTCCTGAAACCCTCCCCCAGGTAGCGAAAAACCTGCCAGGCTTGTCAGACGCCAGTGACACAGGACAGCCCTTTACTTCTCAGATGCTTTATCTGTATTTATCTCTCTGATGTTATGAAGTGTTTCCCTGTGAAATGCTAATTCAGGCCTTCAAAGGCCGCCTCATGGTCTGTCTTTAAGGTAAGACCATGAGCCACGGCATGGTATGTTTGGATGTTGAGGGGCTGCCATGTTTTGACAGCTTTGCAAATTTCTGCAGCTCCTTATTGGGATTTCCTGGGTCAGCAGTGAGTTTTCTCCGTGTTTCATTTGGTTTTGCTTCCCTCAGGCTGCAGGAGAAAGCTGCAGACACCATCGAGGCCCTGCAGAAAGCGGGGATCAAGGTCTGGGTTCTCACGGGAGACAAGATGGAGACGGCCGCGGCCACGTGCTACGCCTGCAAGCTCTTCCGCAGGAACACGCAGCTGCTGGAGCTCACCACCAAGAGGATCGAGGAGCAGAGCCTGCACGACGTCCTGTTCGAGCTGAGCAAGACGGTCCTTCGCCACAGCGGGAGCCTGACCAGGGACACCTTCTCCGGGTAGGCAGCACGTCCCTGTCACACCCCACACTCCCCCAGAGGGGCTTCACACCCCGTCCCCGTCCCACCCCACACTCCCGCAGAGGGGCTTCACACCCCGTCCCCGTC